ATCACAGAGGAGCACAGCGAGAAATACCAGAGCATCGCAAGAAACATGTGGCCACAAGAAAATTATCAACAAGTCTCAATTTTTAAACACATCTGCAAAAACATGTATAAATTGCTTTACGTTTAAGATACGCTTTTTGAATTTTTTCTTCACCTTAACAGTAGAATTTGGCAATATTTAGCCAAAATAAGAGTTTCATTCGACAACAACAATAGAAAAGTATAGCGCAGACCTCCACCAAGAGGTTTCAACCAGATGATCCGGATCACCTCCAAAATCCAATCATTGCTTCTTGTCCCATTTTTGAGCTTTAACAGAAAAAATCTCAAAAATGTGAACATAATTTTAACATAAAAGAACAAACCCTGGCAGTTGCATTACCCCCTGCAGAGATAGAAATGTTTTGCAAAATTCACTTGCAAAGACCATCTAAAGATTTCAGCAATGCCCGCCTAACCCCAGCCTCATCCCAAGTTTAAAAACTAAATAATGAACATAAAAGCCCTAAGCACTGTTACTATTATGACTATTAATATCATAGACCAAACAATGAATTACTTTCTGAATGTCCTGTGCACGGAAACACATGCAGTGATTGACTAAAAATGGCATCTATACAATATATTTTTGCCCTTAGCTCTGTTAACTCAAAGTTGCTAGCAGAAAAATGACAAGTCCAGGGCAGTGCGGGTCATCAAACCGAAATATAATTCTAAAATCATCCGCAAAACCCCGCATGAGTCTGGAGAGGGCTATTTCTACTCTGAGGTTTTGTTCAGAGCCGAGAGCCATGGCAACATCATCAGCACAAGTTTACAACATTCAAGCTACCACAAAAAATTGGATTGCAAGTATATTTTCTTTAGCAAATTCGACAAGACAAAGTAGGTATCCTTGAATACTGCCTCAGAGCTTATATAGCCCAAATTGGCACAAATACTTAAATTTCCAAACGTGCTATTTAAGTAATGGCGAATCCTCAGATTACGACATCATGGTGTGGTCTGCAATTTATAACATATCGACTCCTGGAAATGTGAAAAAGCAAAAAAAAGAGGATCCTCTCTTGTTTACAGTCAAATCAAACTCACAAATAAGAAAATAGTTGGTCATTCTCTAGAGTCTGGTAGAGCCAAGCAGACAATCGCTATAGCAACTGTGTGATTATGACTTTTATATTTACCAAACACCATAAATGCCACTGTGGAGGAAGATCTTTCTCTGCGGAGAGATTGTTCCCACTTATAATTAGAGTGAAAGAGTCATCAGAGGCCAAATCTACATGGCCTCATCTTCACATAGAGTCCGGCCATTTGTTTGTTCTCCTAAAGGGCCTGAAACAGTTTGAACTTGAATATGTTGTGGGGTTTTTACATGTCTTAGAAAAAACTAGGTTGGAGCTATAAGGAATTCAAACACAACTCATAAGTTATAATCATTTCTCCAGGCAATTTACAATATTTACAACAGCATAACTTCAATAAAACCACTTTTCTGGTTTTGCTTTCTGTCATCTTTTGGTGTTTTCCTTCTGCAACCCCAATATTTAAGCCCAATGATAACTTGGTGAGTTGTTTGGACCCTTTTCACCACAGGGAACTAATAAAAAGTCAAAACAAACTTCTGAATTAAAAAATCAGTCTTTTAAAGGCCTCAGCGTGAGTATCCAGGACCCCAGGGTAATCACATAATACATGGACTATGGCAAATTTATCATCCACATGGAGCAACATACCAACTTTCCAAAAAGAAGGACAGATGTGTAGACAGGAAGAGCTTCACTCACCCAAACACGGCTCCACGGCTTGTTACGCTGTCCATATGAAAAGTATTGTGTGACTTGAGTGTAGTTTCAGGTCCTACATGTAAGCAACGGGCTATAAACAGTTTGGTGTTCTTAATGTCTAAATTTCTGCATTGGTCGGTTGGCGTGTGTGAAAATGTAAACTTAATATTCAATAAGTTTGTGTAAGCCCTCAGTCGTACAGGGATTAGTCAAAGCAAAGGAAGGTTTCTCACCCATCATCTGTACTTCTTAGCAAGTTTTCCCAACGTTTCGTCCTCAACCTGGGGACTTCTTCAGGGAAAGAAGAAGTCCCTGAAGAAGTCCCCAGGTTGAGGACGAAACGTTGGGAAAACTTGCTAAGAAGTACAGATGATGGGTGAGAAACCTTCCTTTGCTTTAATATTCAATAGTTTTTCACATTCTAAAACATGAAATGCCAAAGTAATTATTATTAGCAGCACATTCAACACATTTGCAGTGCATTCCTATCATTATCATCAATATGCTACGGTGCAGGGGGGAGGGGGTCATGCCGCTACCGTTCATCTAATCAGAGAGAGTCATGCCGATGGAGGGATGAAGCCGCTGACATGTCTATCGGATGTTTGCGTCGCCATAGCTACGCCTCAGAGCGGAGGTATGGAGACGAGCAGGCAGCTCCACACGCTGCACAGAACCAGCGTCTGCATCGAGAGCAACCAAACCATCCAAATCAAGATTACACTGTAAAAGCAACAGGCTAATGGGTTCAAACTGCTTGACTTGAAGAGACTATCGAACAAGTTGCATTCTATTACCATTACTCAAAAATTGAGATTGAAGCATAATTTGAATGAAGATTTGCCAGAGGAACAAGCATTAAGCAGGCTTTCAACTGTTGTATAATGATTATTCATGACATGTGGCTAAATAATGTGTATGTAGTGCAGTTTAGAGGCTGTATTTAATGATTTTTTGGATATAATTGATTTAATATTCATTAGATGGCCAATTATTCAACTAATGGATTAGTGACTTAGTGGCTCAGATCCTGAAAGTTCAGTGAATATTAGATTTTTCATAGATTTGACCAAGACAAACACATCAGGCTGCTTGACATTTTCATTTCATTCTGCAGTCATTATAGAATTGTCCGAGCCATAACGCCTATAGTCGGCATGTTACAGGAGTAAACTCTTTTGACCACTTCAAGAATGTTTTTCCGGTCGAGAACCGTGGCCTTGGGTTTGGAGGAACTGGATGTGCATAGACTTTAAAAAAATATAAGCATTTATTAGCTATTTTATATATTTATTGACTGGATTAAATGTATTATTAATGCATCTACTGTATGTGCAGCACTTTGTAAATTGTGTATAAAATGTGATATACAAGTAAAGTTAATTTGATTGTTAGAAAAACAGAATTGGTTTAAGATAAATGACTTAAACTTTTAATTCTGTGCAGATGAACAAGAAAACAGACCTTTTCTCACTTGAAAAGAACAATTATGCGCAAGCTTGACAAAACACTGGCAAATCTTGTTTTGAGACATTCAAAATACTCTCTAATCTCTTCGTTCTCAAGGTTGGATTTATTTTGTATCCGAGGTAAATAAGAGAAAAGGAAAGAGGGGGAAGAGAAGAGAAACTTGTTACAGTCAAAATCAAGCATTTTTTACTGAATCTTGAGTTAGTTTTCCAGTGTAATTCTGAATCTAAAAGTGCACTGCGCAACTTTTCTATCCCATGTTTATGCGTTTGCTTCATAAGTTCCACCGTATGGCATTAAATGAAGCAGGAGCCAAAACTCGGCCACTTTCCTCAGACATTAGATCAACAGAACTACCACTTCTTCAATACTTTAGCTTAGCGCAGTAAACAACAATAATGTAGCATAACGTTAGCTTAAACCTCCTCCAGTTTATGTGTACAGTAACTATTAAAGCAGGAAGACCTCATTTTCAAACTATAAAAGATAGAACAATGTATTAAACCGTGGATCACCCTCTTCAGCCAATCCACTCTCAGCCCAGAGCTACTTATGGATCAATTTGTGCTTTGATTTGTATTTAAAGTATAAGCTCTGTTTTTGGTGTTCAGTGATTTTTCTATGCTCTCATAATGTGGTAGAAGTGGCAGTTGTGTCATAGAAGAAAGCAGACAAGCTGTCATTTTGTTTACAATTATCTTAAGCTCGGACCCAAGCCCAAATTATGACATAGTTTAAAGCTGGGCTACCTAACTTCCAAACCATAAAAAAAAAACATTTGGTTAGATCACAAGTTTCCACATACTTATGTCCATTTTTAACTTTTATTTAACTTTTCTTTACACTAACTTTTTCAAACAGACAAGTGAAAAAAGAAGACTACCCTCCCTTAGCCAATCAGATCTCAGCCCAAAGACCAATGAATCTTCTTGTGCTGCAACGTAACATAATAATTCATCCATTCATTTTCTTCCCCTTAATCCATTTCTGGGTTGGGGGGGTGGCAGTCAGAGCTGCACCCAGTACACAGAGCACCAGCCCCTCACTGATCCTCCTGCAGGTGCTGAATCCACAGGAGCTGAGATTTTTCAGTGGGGGCTTCAGGCAAAGTGGGGTTAAGTGTCTTGCTCAAGGACACAACAACAGCAGAGGGAGTCGTGAAGTAGGTCTTACGGTGGGCTCGAACCCACGACTTTCAGGCTCTAAGGCCAATGCTCTACCAACTGAGCCACTGTCGTCCCTTAACATATATTTCAATTAAATACAATTGCGCAATTGATTGTTTTTCTTCATAATTATATGAAATTGTACTATTGCAAGACTTTGTAAGTTGACACAAACAACAACAAAAAAACTAAAATCCAGTATGAAGTAATATACCTACACATGTATTTAGGTAAATATGAAGCCAATAAATAGAATAATAAAACATGAAATATCTGATGGAAAAAAAATGAAAACATACATAAAGTTAGGTATATATGAAACAATTACACAAAATACTACAAATAAAGAAATAGATGAAAAAATATATATGAAATTATGAAATAAATGAAGTTAGCTAACCCCAGCTTTAACCGCCTGATCGCTTCATCTGGAATTACTCAAATACTTTTAACAACATACTGTGGAACCCCGCAGGCAAAGGAAAGCGCCTCAGTGCACCTTTAGGCCCTGTTTTCACTCATGTCGACGTTGATTTGTGCAGTGTGTGTGGAGGAAGAAGGGAAAAGGGAGTTCATACTTTAACCAAAGGCGTTTCGGACGGCCGCACTTTCTTGGGAGATATCTGCGAAGAGAGCAACACTGTTATTCCTCCTGTTTAAGCCTCTTCAGAGATACCTCCTCTTGAGCCATATTGCTGTTCCAACGTGACGCACTGATCACGCTAATGTCTGCACCGGTTAAAATGACTTGAATTTGGAATATGTTATTTTTGCTCCATTGTATGACTTACATTTGATCGGGGTAAAACTAGAATGCAGTAGGAAAGGCTGAAATGCAGGGAACAGATTGATTTTTTGTAAGTAAGTAAGTAAGTAATTTTTTATTTATATACCGCCTTTTCACTGCAGATCTGAGTCTCAAAGCGCTTTACAATTGTTAATTTTGGGCATTTGTCTCTCACTCCACACAGAGATGGGAGTGGGGTCGCCAGTACAGGAGGCGCATGCCAGAACTATTGGACATATTTTTAGTGGTAGGGGAAACCGGAGTACCCGGAAGAAACCAACGCAGACACGGGGAGAACATGCAAACTCCACTCAGAAAGGCCCTGGTTCGACCGGGATTCGAACTCAGGACCTTCTTGCTGAGAGGCGAGAGTGCTTTTTAAACTACATTGGTATTTCATGTCATAAGGCTTTACATGACTTTCAAATCTAACTAGTTTCTGGCTCTAAAACAGTTACGTAGTGTGATCTCTCCCTAGTTTTCAATCAATCCGTGAAAATGAGAAATTATCAGTATTATTTTCATCTGTATGTTTTAAATGTGAAGCACTTTGTGATCCTGGTCTGGGAAAGGCGCTACACAAAAAAACTTACTTTTACTTACTTAGAATTGATGCTTTCATACTATAAAACAAGCTACATCTTTTCTCGCAATAAACCATATTCTACTCTAGTCTTACTTCTACAAAACTCTTTTTGTTTGGATCAATGAAATGTGTGAAATAATGTTAGGTACCCCAGCTTTAAATATATCTATATAATAATATTGAATATTGCCAAAACATTTTTCTATTTTATCTGTGCGTTCTCATGCTAGCTTAAACACGCACATTTTGTTGTAAGCTTATGTATTTTTACAGAAGACTGTACAATATTACATTAAGTAAATTACAAATACATGATCAAGTTAAGTGCTTGAAATAACAAACTATTTATTGATTAAAAAACATAACCAAATAATTATTTTTTTCCCAGTAAAGTTTAACTAAAAGATAATTGTAGTTACAAGTTGATACAATTTATCTTGGTTAATTGGTGTAAAAAATAAAATAATTAATATGCCATAAATTCAAGCCATTTTAATGAATTTAGGAATGTCTTTTGGCTGTAAATATGTAGTGAGAGATCTGCAGTGGATATAACAGCTCACAGAAAGTCATTGTTGGGGTCGCACATGCAGACTACACTTGGGACCACAGACAAAGATGGAATGTGTAAAGCCAATTGTTCGTCACTATAAAAACAATGACATGCGGATATTTATACATTTAAATGATAATAGATTTGAATGAACAACAACACATCAGAGGAGACACTCAGAAGGTTCGGACACAACAATCACAGAGAAAGGTCATGCAAAGACAAATTGACGTGAATTTTAGCTTTGAAAATATAGAAAGAATTGAGATGTGTGTGGACGTGTGCGTGTGTTTTTGACCAGCAGGGGGCAACAGTGAGAGGGGAGAGTGGAGCTGAAGACAACAGGGATCAGGGTCAGATGGAGTGACCCTGTTTGACCATACAAAACAGTGAAAAATGTAAAACTACTTAAAAGAAAAAGTTCAAGTTGTTCAGCTTCCTGTGTTCATTTTGTTTATTATTATTTGTGGATAGAAATGTATCTATTAGGGATGCACCAATGCCACGTTTCCATGTCCATAACCGTTCTTGATACGTCGGCGATCTTGATATTTGCTGATCCCCGATAAGAACCGATGATAGGAATATGTCTTTTTGCATATACAGGTGAAACTCAAAATATTTAAAATCATAACGGACTGTGCACCTTATACGCATTGAGATATTCATGAATGATAATTGCATGTAATGAGTCTACATCACATTCAAGTTGAAAATTTCTGGTTCAAGTTCAATTTTTCAAAACTAACACAAAGATAATATAGATTGTACATTCATCCATTGTGAGATTATAAAGTTCATCAGGATGTATCCATAGAAATACAGTATATAAATCAGAGTTCCTACAGGTTTCACCAAGTCAAATTTAGATTTTAGACATTTCAGACAAAATTATGTTCCTTTATGTTTCAAAAATCATCATTTTGGCCAGAAAATATTTACTTTACTAAGAGCAGCAAACCTGAGCCTCTCTACCCTCTAAGGCCCGCTTTATTTTCATTGCTAATCCACATGATTCACATTAAATACCTTTTCTTGGAGTAAGGGGAGGGGACAAATTTGCAGGTATGATAAAAGAAATTCATATCTACCACAGCCTATTTCACAAAATAGTTGTTGGTGCTTTTGCTTGGATTGTTGCTTGTGGTTGGTGTTGTGTTGTAGTTTTTATCAATAGTTCTTGCCTTTTGAGGAAAATATGATATGTAAAAGTTAGATACTGTGCATGTTTTAAGACGCAGAGTTCAAAATTCAAGCCTTTTCCAGATTTGTATAACTTCCAAATTGATAAAGGCAAATCTTTTCAGACTTTTTAAAGACCGAGCAGGAACCCTGAGTATTCTAAAACATTAGTACCAAACATAAGTTCTATGCAATACCATGGGAAACTACAGCCAACAAGATCTCAAGGAAACAAGTAGAAGGATGCTCACAGCTTTAAATGCCATAAACACAAGAATGAAACGGTAACTAGACAAAAGGTAATAGGGTTTCCTGTTGACAACTTTTCACTATTCAAACTAAACGATATTGCATAAACCCGTCTAATCCTGCTGTGTGTGTGGTATGGGTGTGAGCAGCCCTGCCCGGTACCTTCATTGGGGCCAGCTGGATGGGGGTGATATACGAGGGGTCCACCATGGGCTTGGGTCGGTTGGCAGTGTCGGCCAGCAGGCTCTGCCATTGCTGGGGCAGGCCGGTGAACTTCTGCTCCCGCGGGTCGAATCCGGTGTGAACGCGATGCTCGAAGTTCGACGGCGCAGAGATCTCCAACCGCTTTTTCTTTTTCCCAAACATACTGCAAAACCCTGGCAAACCTGGCAACCCTGGCAAACCTGTGGAGAGGAACGACAGTTAAACTTTGGCGTTTCATGTGAAGGGATGGAATAAGAGATGGTCCGAATGAGCAAAATGCAGCCCGCGGAAATTCAATTTGGTAGACGTCAGCCAAAGTTACCCCCTCCAGGCCAGTTCACATCCCCAGCCTATCGCACAGCAAACGCCCCCTTCCAATCACCGTACCGGCCAGGCAGCCGCTTAAAAGCGGAGAAACTCCCACTCTCGGCCTTCTCGAAGCCTTGCAACCACCGCCTCCCCTCCTCCTCCTCTTCACCCTGCCTCCAATCTGCCTCCAATCTGCCTTCAATCTGCTTCCCGCTGCCAAATGCCGCCACCAGTGCCTAGGTCCCGGGGGATTGGCGCGCTCCATCGCAGGAGCCTCTCCGATCTGAAGGCCGCACCGGGGTCTAGGGCGCCAAACCTCCTCCCAATAAAATACTCAAAAGCTTCTTGTTTTCTCGTCTCTCCAAATTGAAATAATATTGTATACTATAGTGTTTTTCATGACACTCAAAGATGCGTTATATGGTATTATTCATTCACTATGTACACTATGGTGATGAACTATACCACAGTAGCCACAACTGCCCAGAGCCAGACAGACAGAGGCCGGACAACAAGTCTGTGCCATCAGCCCCTCCCACCACCACTAATTCAATGTAATGTTTTTGTTCATTTTTGTATAGATCTACTTCACAACAACAGATGTCTGGCAAGACTTAACAAAATTGTCAATTCACCAGCAATAGATTTGAGAAAAACATGCAAAATGCTAGCCTGACTCTCGCCAGACCCTTGTAGTTCCACCATGCTCCACCAGAGGCGTTTCGCTGAGCACTAGTTGTCACAATACTACATTTCAAACTCAAAATTTTGATTACGGCTGTAATTACTGTTGGCAGCTCAGTGAATATGGGATTTCTTTTGCAGGAATTCGACCGAAACAGAGCTCAAGTCATGCCCCCAGAGAACATCTTTGTGGAGTCGAACTGTTACACCTTGAGTTGATTGATTAAACTCGTCATTTTCAACTCTAAATAATAATTGTCCTGTTTATGTACTAGTTTTACTCAATACTTTCTGAATACTTCTGACAACTCAACATTAGAGTCATTCATAATCCCGTACAATGAGACGCCATCTATTCACCTCTCTCAACCACAGAAAGACAAAACAAATATATATTTACCGCAGCACACACGGGTCACAGAGCACAAACAAAGAGCTCTGGGAAAACCTTTATTTAAAAAAAATCAACACAGGAAAACCTCAAAATGGCAACCACTGAAAAAGAGAAAATCATCTAACGGTTTGGGACGATACAAAAATAGTAGAAACTATGGTTGAGAGAAATTTGAACATTGAATCGATATTGATATCAACTCAAAAAAACTACTTAAAGAATATAGATTTTGCCTGTAGGCACAACTCTGGCAGTCACAATAATCATATTTTTACTTACGAACCTTACTTCATGTTGCTGTGGATTGAAGGCTTAAGCCAACCAAATCAAAGACATAGGAGCGTGGGACTTTTTCTGACAAATGCTTGGTTTTAACCAAAACTGTAGTTTTAACGTATCAATATCAAAACATCTGGAACAACTACTGTATGTAGCTGCATTTTCCATATCATTCGGTGGAACAAAAGTGAAATATAAGCGAGGGATACAAGGGACCATCAACAGAGACAAGGGGGCCTTCATCTTGGCTCACACTTCTTCAGAGACCACAGCATGGGGTCTCTGCTTTATTAGTCTCACAGTGGAGAAATTTCAGTGTCATCGTTGCGCACATTACAGCAGAGAAAGGAAATAAGAGCACTCATATTGCACACATCAAATAAGTCTATTATTTAAGATAATAGACAATAAATTTAAGATAAAATAAAATAAAATAAAATGAGATAAACTCTGGGCTATAATTGCACTTGGTTCGGAGTATTTACAGATGTCTATATTATACATTAGCAGCGGAGAAAATGAGAATATGAGCAGAATAAACATCAGAAATAATATCAACAGGTAAAGTGACTTGAATGGGAGAAATATCAGATATGTAATCATCACCTGTCTCCTCTGATGAAGTCTACCGTCCAAACAAGTCAGGTAATGAGGCAGTGCTAGCTTCTTAACACTCGTCTTATTAGAAGAAATGTCACTAAGTACCTCATTTTAATGCTAATTGTTGCTAATAACTACTATAAATACAAATACTCAAAGACTCACAAGATGAGCTTTAAATAAAGAAAACGACTGTAAAAGTTTCGGCCCCTTTATTGTTTAAATGCTGCCCCCGACCAAAATTAGTTTGACGCCCCTGCTGCCTTATGTCAATATTTCTTCTTTATGTTTAAGACTTTTATAAATACAGTATATTACTATCATATCTCAACCTTTCCTTAACTAATTACAATCTTAGTGCAGTCAGATATTTGAACAGAAAGGTGCAAAACGGTATTGTTTTTTCCCCCAAATTGTGCTTGTTTTTCCACCGGGCGAACGGTCAGATAGACAGAGGTATTGTTGGTTTGGGGCGGACGCACAATGTCCAGTCACAAATGTCACGAGGGCCCTGAATGCATGGCGTTGTCTGCTGTTGTCCTCTGCCATTGTTCTCAGAGCAAACCACAAAGCCTCTTTATCTCCTCAGTCTGTTGCGGTGGATACGCGATGCCAAAAATGTGGAGGAGACAAGCACAACCAACACCCAATAAAAACGAAACAATTTGTTTTGAGAAAATGGTAATATTGCTACTGTAAAAAATTGATTTGTTTAAACTGATCAATTTTGAAATATGATGAATCACAATTAATGGATGTCAGTATTTAAATGCCACAAAACATTTCAGGAAGCGTGTTTCACCATTTCTTTATTTATTTTATTTCTCAAAGCTTAATAATTATTGAAATTTGATAATGGTGGTGAATGTGTGTAACTTTTGCCTGTAAACAAGGAAGAGCAAACCCATTAGGAAGCTGGCATTAGCTCTGGGTGTGTCGTCATGTTTATTGTCACAATTCTGCCAAATCTTGTGGAGATTGCGGGGCTCACACACTGCTGCGGTGAGCACCATGTGTCTCTGCGCTGCTCAGGGAGGCCTTCAGTCTCAACATACATCAGTATCAAGTCAACCATTGATCTAGGATTGAGCCATAATAATAATGTATTGGTTTTATAAAGCGCTTTTGTGGATACTCAAAGACACTCAATTTGTCGGTGGTGATAAACTACTAGGCCGCATCCAACCAATTATATCAAAATAAGTAAACTGTTTTTGAGGCTGTTGCTTACAAAACTACACACAAGTCACATAAGGGACAATACTTACTGAAAGCTGCGGAGCTATGTCTGTGTTCAGTGTGTGAAGCTCTTACTATCAGAGTTTGGGCTGGGTGATATATTTGTGAATGCTAAAGGGGGGTAAAAAAACCTTGAATCGATTCTAAATACAGCATGACTTGACATTTTGAAACAGAAAGATATTGCACTGAAAATCCCCAAACAATTCCAACATCATCATTGTATCCCCTCTGTTGGCCATGATCCACACAATCTCATCTTTTCCTATTTTTATCCCCGATAAAGACATTGTCGCAGAGAAAGTATGAGACATGACTTTAACTCCAGGGAGGTGATGTGAGGGAAGTAGCGGAGCAGTCGACAAAGCTTAAATATTTGGTAAGTAGTGACAATGAAGTCATCTCTGAGAATGACTGATGTGGGATCGGCTGAATCATCATGGGCTACCACCAGAAGGACAGAGCATATTTGAGGACACGGACTATATTAGTATTTTTTTAGGCTTTTAGACTTAATTTGAGTTGATTTTCTGTTTTTCGATCCATCCACGCTATAATGTAAGGAACGTCTAGCACAAAAATGTAACTCCGCCCCTTCTGTCTAAAAGCTCTCAGTCCTGTAAGGGTGCGATGTCATTATGCTACTATGACATTATATTACATTACAAGTGTTTTTGGTCATTTTGCAAGTAAAATGGCATTCTTTACAATTGACGGTAGTTTTCCAATTTGTAAAAACACACACTAATTCTACACCTCCTTCTGGTGGTTTGGCATAAGGATAGAGCAGCCAATGTGATCCCTTTATACTTGTTTTGCCACATATTTTCTTCTGAATATACATTTTCACATTCTAAAACATGAAATGACAAAAAAAAGTCTCATTATCAGCTTGAATCCCCAAAATATTGTGTAAGGTTTTAAGTGAAGAAAAGAAAACTTAAAAACAAAAAAGAATAGATTTATGTCATGAAATCCATCTAAATACTTGCTCTCTCTCTCATAACAGTACCACATGCATACATTTTGGCCTCTTACACTTGTTTGGATCAGTTTTTTCAGTCAGAAAAGTGAAAAAGAGCCAATTGGAAAAATAAAAATGTCAGCCCAAAGTTTTCAAATAGTGGCAGATTTACATGTTTCTTCTTCGAATTCCATCACTATTGCTCTGTAAAGGCAGTAAGTGAGTAAAACAGGACCTCTGTGAACCCTCACCCACATATAAGCCCAGTGTGTGATGAGCTTATGGAGCTTTAGTCGTCTGGGCCTTCACACTGTCCACTCAGGCTTACAGTACAGCCCCACATTCCCCACATGTCCTCTCTGTGAGCCTACCTTTGGAATTACACACATCCACTACCAGGCCTGTACCATCAAACAAAAAAGCCATTCTGAATCTCAATGGGACACGCTGGTGAAATGAACTGGCTGCTACTGTCTAATCTAACGTGACACGGAATCGTCTAATTGAAAGCATGCCGTTGCAGAGATCGTAATTTTATTGGAGAAGCATACATTTGGAGGCAATACCAGTTTAAAGGATTTGAGTAACACGTTTAGACAAGGCATCAAGATTCTCATCAAAATACTTTCAACATTATCACTTGGGCTGCACGATATACTGGAAGAAATATGGTTATCGCGATATTGGTGCGTG